TGGTCCCCATCATCACGTTACATCCATCAGAAGCGGAACCAATTACATTCTCTTTGGGTATTCCTTTCTTCCCAAGACTGGAAAGGATATTCTGATGGAGGTGCTCAGCGGTAGCACTTGTTAATTTCCCTGGTTCCAAAGCCTGAACTAAGTTTCAGAATTTTGTTACAATACCTCCTCGCTCTTCATCAAAATACCTTACTAATATTCAGCTGGTTTTTGTATAGGAAATGTCTGTGGATTCATCAGTTAAAACACTGAATTTCGATTTCAGTAATTTTTGTGTCAGTTCACACGCTTCAGTTTCTCCAATTATATTCCTCACTATCGCAGGTGCCTTGGTCCTCTTCAGAGTCATTTTCTCAATGATCTTAGAATCAGGAACACCATCTTTCAAGAGCTCGACGAGATGATCCATACAATTAAAGGCAACATCATGCTCAGCAAAAAATACTACCAGTTTTATTTCAAGACTTTTTGCGGCTGCTTCCAACTTCTCGTTATCATTGGTGCGTTTGATGAACTGAGTCATAGTCATTTTAGTTGATTTTGAGGAGTTCTCATTTTCAAGATGTCTTTTAGTGTTTGCATGAGCTTCCAAGAGTGATGCATCTGCAGTATAATCCTGGTTGCACAATTTACAGTGGGCTTTATAAACATTATCTAGAACAGCTGATAGCCAATTTTTAAATGCAGGCAATCCCAACCAAGCGTCGCGAAATCTCTGAGCAAATTTCTCTTTTTTCACATTTGCGGTTTTACGTTTCTTGTTTGGAGGTGTTTGCAAAGGGTCTTGGTCATTATTCATTGTGTAAATCTAGAAGGAGAGTAGAAAATATAACCCAGCTTTACAAATTTTAGTCATTCATCATTTCTTCAAATTTCCTTGATACAAACCGTAATTAATTCGTTCTTCAATTAAGATATTCAAGATTTTTATTTGGGGGAAATTGAACAGAATTCAGCGGAAACTTCAGTCATTCGGCAACGATAGATTGCCTAATGCTATGGAATTCTGTGAAATATGGCTGAGTAAGATAACCAGCAGTTCACATATGAGTCGGTCTCTGGCATTGGCTAATCGTTCAGCATTGAAGAATTTCATTGGTTAAAATCTTTGCTCGATGAAAGTGAGATTATCCACTGACGGTTTACCGTATTTTCATGGCGCTGCTGAGCTAGTCAAGTCATGAAAGTGGCCCCTCTAGATGTCCTTTACTCATTTCAAATTGAACCGTGAATTTTTGAAATTCTCCAATAACTTTGACCAAAAAATGATACCCGAAAATCACCCACTCAGGGGACAAAAAAGTGGGATACCATGATACCATTAATCCAATCATGGTACATTGTATGGGTACCCGAAATCCTAGTAGAGATACTAGGAAGATGGTACGGTTGGCAACGCTGGTCGCGAGACAAATTATTTAAGCGTTCAAACTCAAATCTCAGCCGTTGAACTCAATGACAAATCGACTAAGCGAAATAAAGGAAATTGGATTCCAACGCGAGTAAACGAGAGAATGAGAGAGAGCTGTACGAAGTATTTTGTTACAGTAATTCTGATCAGAGTAGCGAGGGCTCCATCAGGCAATAAATCTTCAAAAAAACTACAGTCCTACGGGACTCAGATATGCGCGACATCTAATCAAATATTGTAATCTTTAGCCAAAGCCCTGCCCACGTTACAAATAACACTTTTCGCTGAATAAAAGCAACTACCATGCTCACCCACGAGTCCGGTCTGCTGCGTTTACCAAAAACCCTCCAGTCTGCTAAATCCTCCGACAAATCCCGCTTGCCACGAAACTCCTCGATTCTAGATTCCCAAAAATGATCTCTCCGACTCCCCAAAATGGTTCCAGCTCCAGGGAAATTGCTTCGGCACCAAATTTTAGACGACGCACGAATTATTGATGGCTACTCTATGATCACCAAACGGAAAGTGAGGTGCATTTTCCCATAATTACGACGCTGACCGCCGAAAACGCGGCAACGAGTCCCATTGGCTCGCCCGTGACAGCAACTCTCCATTCAGAATCCGAGTTATCAGGATTCAACCATTTTCCCCAGCATATCTGGTCAGTCTGCTTAACGTCCGCGCATGCCAACTTCCAACATAAATCTCCATCACAAAATTATTTATCCCTTAGGATTAATCAGAACCTTCAGCAATCTTGCTCCAAAATTGTCCCATAGCCGCAACTGTTCCTTCAAAACTCCAAAATAAAGCTGCTTTCTGCTTTTCACACTTTTCTCCATTCCTCCCTTTCCTCTCCTAATTATCAGGCGTCTGCATCACGCTCCATCAACGTCGTCCCGAGAGCTAGCGACATCTAGGCCGTCCGAAGACCCATGATACTCGCTCGGTGAAACCCGAAATCCTCTCGGAATCCCTCATAGACATCCGGCTTCCTCGAAGTCCTTCTCGATGTCCCTCGTAGACTCTCGACTCGCTCGAAGTCCTCCGACTACGATATCCCCATTTGAGAGCGTGGCAGCGCCAAATTCGATTCAAAAATAAAACATATCAAAATGAATAACGAAACAAAATTCTAATCATGACCCTCGCTATCGGCGGTTGACTTCCCCTCTGGTGAGTTTCTTTAACTAACCCACCCGCGAAACGGTCGACAACATCAATATTTGTGACGGAAAATATATCACGTCACAAGTTGCAAAATGCTCCTTGCACCGCAGTTTTCATCCGATTTTAACTTTTTTTTTCAAAATGTTCGTTATACTCCAATGAATAAACCCAAGTATCCGTTTTGTTTTGTATGTATTAGATCGTGAGAAAATGACCTTTTTTGGTTTTTGATTTTTTATCCTCTTCTTAGCAAATCCCAACATTTTTTAACTCCCCATATTTTTTGTTGTCATAAGATTCCGATTACGTGTGATTATAACGTGGAATAAAAAAACACCGAATATTATGATTAGCTAAGAAGAGGAAAAAAAACAAAAACTAACGAAATCATTTTCTCATGATCTAATACACATGAAGTAAAACGGATACTTGGGTTTGTTCGTTGGAATATAACGAACATTTCGGAAAAAAAGTTAAAATTGGATGAAAACTGTGGTGCAAACAGCATTTTTAAGCTAAAAACATGAAAAATGACGTTTTTGGGGGACGTACGGGGCAAAACGGGTCGAGTCCAAAATTTGTTCTCCTTTTAAACATATCCCTTCATATACCAAAAGTCGTGCAATAGCCTTCAAGGCCGAGCGAAAACTTTCAAATTTCACTGCAGTCTCCCCTTAAACTTCGTCTTTTCGATGATTTCTTACGTTATTATCCGTAATCTCGGCGGAAAAATAGAAAAACAAGAATAGAACTGCATTATTTGCGGTGGGATAGTCTTTTACAATTCAATCAAATAGATATTATCATGACGTGTACTTTGAATGAAAAAAAAATCAAATTGGTGGGATAGTTCCTCAGTTATTTGCATGAAACTATTTTTGAAGAATCGCACTGTGAAAAAAAATACTTTTGTCAAGGAATCATTTTCTTGGGAGGAAAATCTATTTTTTGAGGAGCTTATTTCTCTAGGTCAGTTATTCTCAGGTGGTCTACGTCCATCTCCAAATATTACAATTATGTTGAATTATGAGATGATTATACTACATATGAACTTGAATGAACACCCTTCATTATTTTTGAATTTTTTCAAATTTAAGCTTTTCTTAGGTAAAATAATTGGGAATAATTCTAAATGTTAATGATTGTCAACGGAGTTCATTCAAGGTTATATGTAGCATAATCATCCCATAATTCAAAATAATTGTAATATTTGGAGATGGATATAGACCATCTGGGAATGACGGACCTGGAGAAATAAACTCCTAAAAAAATAAATTCTTCTTCCAAGAAAATAATTACGTGGCAAAATTGATTTTTTTTCTCAGTGCGCTATATCTCCGGAATGGCTCAACTGATCTAGCTGAAACTTAGCGAACATTTGAGTGTCAGTGCCAATTAAGAGCCAGAATTTCAGTGTCTTTGCAATTACTGTTTTGGAGATATTGGTACAGTTAAAAGCCAAAAATATTCTGAACAAACACTAAGAAAAAAGTAGTATAAATTCAGAAATCATTATGCAGATCGACTACATCACTCTTCAGTGTCAATTATCGATTTGAATGGGATTATTTTTCCATTCCTGTTGCAAATCACATCTTCGTCTTTGTGCTGGCTAATTTGACAAATTTCAATAATTTACCCATTAAAACAATAGGCATATACAATGCATTTGATGCATTCATGAGGAATGAATAAATCTTTAATAGAAAACATTATAAGATCCAATGGACATCTTCATAGCGCGCAAGATACCCTAATCTATAAAAAGATTTGAAACATGAAAAACTATAAAAAATTTCTCCTTCCAAACAAAATTTTTCGTTCATATCACACTAATGTGAACAAAAAAAAGTCATGAAAAACTCCCCGCCCGATGAAATTTAATAGAAAAACCTAACGAATGCGCTATAGACAATTCTATTGCACTTTTCATTAGTTTTAGGCCGATTGTATTGAAATGTTCAATAAAAAATATGCTATAGAGAAAGCCTAATAGAATTCGATTTTTCTATACAACCTATTCTGTTGAGATATTTTCTATAGAATTTCCTCAAATTTTCTAATTTTTTAAGTTGATTTTATTGATGAGAAGAAAAGAAAAATAGAATGAAAAAACTTAGAAGATTTAAGCCGAAAAAATTCTATAGAAAATATCTCAATAGAATAAGTTGTATAGGAATATCGAATTCTACTGTCTTTTTCTATAGAATATTTCCTTTTGAAAATTTCAATATAATCGGCCAAAAACTAATAGAAAGTTCAATATAAATCCAATAGAATTGTCTAGGTTTTTCTATTAAATTTTTTCGTGCGTGTGTAGAAAGAAAAACATAATCATAAAAATAATCTCTGATTTCCACGAGGAAGAACGTCGCAAAAGCAAAATAATAAACTCCCCCAACAATTCTAGGACTTGGAGATATCAAAGGCTCGACTTAGAACACTGACGTCATTCTCACCAACTGACCAGGAGCTACGTCAACATGTATTGGCTTACCGTGCTGCACTGACCACAACAAGAAACCGATGATTTTAGATCGATCTGGTAACTCGAGCCGAACGAACAAACTCAATCAAATAGTAATTCAAAGTTTGTTGAACGTTGGGCCCGATGAATCAGAACAAACTGCTGGCGCTCATCATCCTGTCGACGAGTGGTAATTTTTCAAAATGAATTATAGAAGTTTGAAACTCGTGTCGTTGATTTCTGCAATGCAAATACGAAAATAAATATGTATTCTTGTTTGGATGCACATTTTCATTTCCTGATCCTATAGACCCAATCGAATAAAACGTTCATAATTTCCTTGGCATTGCCTTAATAATTTGGGCCTAATTGCGGACGACGCGTTACAATATTTTACGAAAGAACAAACCTCACCCAAAATATGTGAATAAATTCAATAGACGCATTCACTAGAAAATTATATAAATTTTTCCGTGCAGTCTTTTCATAGCTAATGATAGATGAAAATCAATAGATGTTTATTTTTCTATACTATATGGAGCGAACACGCGCGATCTTGTGAAGAGAAGCTTCCTTTTCTCCATTCAAATTTCAAAAGTATTAAATTTTATACACCCATAAATACATTATAACAATAAATGATACATAGGAAAAAAATGTAACCAATGATAAAGAAGAATGATAAGTGAAACATCAATGAATAATTTTGTCTCTTCAATCAATTCCCTTTTACTTTTCAAAGTGACCCTCCAAGTGACCCCCATCAATACTCGCAATTGGTGAAAAACAAAGGAAGTATTATGAATTGATTTTCTAGAAAAGTGAACAATATTCTTGGATTATATTCAGAAAATTCAAGGATTCTCTAGAAAACTAGACAATTTTCTAAATTTTTCTCAAATTAATAAACAATAGACAGTTTCCTGTACTTGGTGTTTAAAACCAGGAAAGTTTTCTCGGTTTTCTAGAATTTAGAACCAATAGTCAAGTGACAAAATGGAAGAGAATTAAATTTATGTTATTCGCTAAACAAGGAAAATTGAAGCTATTGAAATTCATCAAAATCATGAACGTACATGATGAATGAAAATCGAAGAAACAACAATCAATCAATTTCTCACATACTACACATGAGAAAATTGATAATTATGATGTAAGAAATATTTTGTGAGTTTGAAGAACTTGAAAATACTTTCATGTTCACACGACTCATTGACCAATTAGAATTAAGGATTCGCGATCAGGCAGTTTCGATATATTTCGGCAAGTTGCTGGCGAGGAGAGCTGTGGCGGCAAAGAAGGTGTGGGAAGAGAGATGACGGCAGTGAGTGTTTTTTGCAACTGTTTTTAAATTTCTGCTTTTTGTTGTAAAGATCGTGGGAAGGATAATGGGCGGATAATCTACTGACTGATAAAAATTGTGATTGTGACTTTAATATTTGCTTAATGCGGTATTGTGTCTTTGTTATGTAAACTTTGAGGGCCCAGGTGGCATAGAAGTTATGAGCATTTGATAATATGTATTTTTGACACAATAAAAACAAACGTCGACATCAAACAACTTCACGAAACTTTCATCTTTCATGGATAGCATAATTTATTCTGTCGAGATGTTCCCTATAAAAAATCGCGAGTATGAATTAGCGTATTATTTCTGCTCTTATTTTTCAAGTATAGAAAAAAAGTAATTCGCGGGTGAATGCTGCTGTTTTTTCTGAAACAAAATTTTTCTTTTCACTTTTTATATTTGTTCAAAGCACAGTGGGTCTTGAACTTTTCTCATACATGAATCTTTGACATATTGAACCTCTTGAGTAACTTCAAACCCGCGAACCTTTGTTATACTGACATTATTTGTTTAAAGATCCATTCAAAAATTATTTCTCAAAATTTTGAGCTCCAAATCAATGGTGAAATCACAAAGCCTCTCAGTCACGCACAATTATTCACAAACTTCAAAGAAAAAACCTTTTTTTTTATCTCCAGTGTATTTAGAAATTCAAATGAATCGATAAACAAAAACCCCTCCAAAACAACGCAAAATAAAAAGAATAAATTTCTCGGCAATATCCAAACACTTGCAGACATGATAGAAATTTTTGAAGAAAATGATACAATGAAAAAGAAATTATTTAGACTGTTTTTGGACCAGAAAGAATAAATATTTCAAATATTGAACCACTTACCTGTTGACTAGGGGTCTTCCTTTTGCCTCGTGGCTTGGCACGTTAATGATAATGCATTCCCCCAGTATGTGCATTTTCAGCCTGTATCGCCACAAATTATTACACCTGTTTTTTTCCTTTTTATTTCCACCGACGTGTCTTCACGATATGCACACACGTACTTATTTTTCCTTTTATGTGCCTCGTCTACAGTGATAAAAATGAACCATACAACGTTTGAAGGTAAAAACCAATGAATTTTTGTGTTCATGTATTTTTTCATCTGATTTGATGTTTTTTCTCGTGTTCCGCATCTCCGAGGTGACACGTAAAATATCCAAATGTGGACTGGATGATATTTTTATGATAGAAATCTCATAAAATTAAGAATTCAATTGACGGAATTAATTTTTTCTGAGGCGACCGCAACTGTATAAACAGCCAGGGCCCAACAGTTTTTGGGTTTTTTCATCTGTTCAAATAGAGGCGTTCGAATTCTCATGCTACATTTATCACTCATTTTATTAGTCGCAGGAGAATTTTTTTTTGAATTTGTTCGGTGTGTTTGTTCTACGTAGAATAACGAATGGTTCTGATGGTACATGTTCCGTGTAGTCGAAAGGGCGCACCGATATATTTTGTCAAATTTTCGAGTTTGGGTGTACTATTGTGGGATGAATTACGCACGAAATAATCTCATAGAAAACCCAACTAATTCACTAGAAAATTCTATTCGATTATATTTAGAACTTCAATTCAAAATGGTTTTAGTTTTTCACCGATTTTATTAAAAATTTCGCAGCTCTACTCCGCGGCTGTTTAACGGGAGACCACGGCTAAATGAATTAACGAAAAACGTAGTTTTTCATTTTTACGTTTAAAATCGTGCAAGTGCCTCAGTTTTCGTTCGATTGACATTTTTTGTTTTAAAAATGTTCGTTAGTTGCCAAAGAAGAAACATATGCATCCATTTTACGATTTATTGAACAGATCATGGAGGAATCGGGAAAAAATGAGCAATTGATAAATCATTGCGAAAGCAATAAATTAAAAAAAAAATGTTTCTTCAATTTTTTCATGATTTACCAATAAACATTTTGAAAAAAAATTGTTAATCGTATGAAAACTGAGGCACTAGGATGATTTTAAAGGTAAAAATGAAGGATGTTTTTCGTTGATTCACGGGGAAAAATCGATTGTAGTCCTCATTTTCCCCACTTTGTAATATGTCCGATTATATATTAACAGTTGCTCGATACGGCCTCTGCTCCAACGAAGACTTGGAAATTTGACCGCGGTCTCCCCTTAATATGAATTTTCCAATGCAAAATATTTTCTTGAAAAAAATCAGTAGAATTTGATCATTTTGTATAACTTTTTCTATTGATTTTCTACAGGAAATCGTTGAAATAAATTCTTCAAGTTTTCTTTTTACTCTATGTTTTCTCGTCTTGAAAAAAATTAAACAGAACCAGGGATGGGAACCTCGAGTTACATTTGTAATCGAATTACTTGAAAATTACTAAATATATGTGATGTATAAAATTTCTGCGGGAGAGATTTTATTACACTGAGAATTTTTTATTTGTGTTTTTCGATTATCAGTTCCGATAAATTATAGTAATCGATAGTAATTACAACGAGAATTACATCAGAATTTTATTGGGATTAAAAATGAAATCGAATTCATATATATAATTTACAATGCCCATTCGGAATTCCTCCAGTAACTGAAAAGTCTTTTGGCAAAAAATACTCATTATGAAGGAAAAAAATTTGCTGGAGTAAATTACATATTACAGCTGAGATTAGGAATTTCCAATCCCTAACTAAGAAAAGAATTTCGTAATCGTCATTTTCAGATTATAAATTGGTAGATTAACTGCAATATTCGATTCCGAAATTACAAATTATTCGAGTAATTCTCAGATAATAATTCGGATTACTCATTTAATTTTGTAATCTGACAAATTTAAATTCTCGTGAGTTGTGCCAAAAGGACGTATAGACAGTGTAGATTTTAAAAACTCCTGTGCTTAAACTTTATCCTTGATGGGATCATAAAAACTAATAAATTCGGGAATTGGTTTTAGGAATAAATATTTTCTAAAACCAATACTGAATTTTTCTTAATTTTAGAAAATTTTCAGATTGAACTAAAAAATTGCAACCGAGGTATTTAAAGGGCGTAATTACTTAAGTGCCCCATACATCCGGAGGGGTGCCCAAATATCGGGTATTTCAGATGTGAGGAGGGGTGATTTTGCAAAGAGGGGGAGGAGATTGGGCATTGAGAAATCACAATAGATTAAAATTGAGTTGGTGAGTTTTTCCAAAATATCTCCGAAACTAAAGGAGACCGCGAATTATTACCAAAAATTGAGGGGGGGGGGTGTGCATTGAGAATTCACAAGCAAAAAAATTGAGTCAGTGAGTTTTTCAAAAATATCTCCAAAAGTAAGAAAGATGGCGATTTTTTACTGAAAATTTGAGGGCGAGGGGGTGTGCATTGACAATTCACAACCAAAAATATTGCGTCGGTGAACTTTTCAAAAATATCTCCAAAACTAAGGAAGATAGCGAATTTTTACGAAAATTTGGGGGAAAGGGCGTGTGCATTGACAATTCACAACCAACAAAATGGAGTCGGTGAGTGTTTCAAAAATATCTCCGAAACTAATTATCAGAATCATCTGAAACGTGGAGATTTACTATTCCCTTAGGAAGTGTTTATAAGACCTTTTAGGCCAAATTCTTAGAAAAGTAAAAAAAAAGTCTATACGAAACTTTGGCCCATCGGACACGATGCTATTGAAAATTGTATTTGTTTTCTTTTTGCTGTTCTATTGAGACTTTTTTAAAAATAAATCTACAAAAAAATTTGGATACAAAAAAATGCAATAAATTATTTATCTTTTATATCAAATTTTTTCTATGGACTTTTCTATAAAAACTTTTCAATAAAATGGCAAAAAAAAACGAATAGAATTTTCAATAAAATCTCAATTAAATTTCAGTGGAGTCCTGATGAATTTTTTGCGAAATCGCTCAGATTTACTATTTAATTTTTTCGGATATGCAC